ATCCCTTCCACCTCCGTGGAAGGGTAGTTCCCCCTGGCCACATTCCCCACTTCCGCAGGGGAGCGGCACACCGCCGGCCGGCTCTCTCGGGGGCTGCACAGGTGTTCCCCTTAGAGGTTCCCCATAGATGTTCCTGGTGAATGCCGTCTCTCTCCTCCTTTATAGTCCTCCTCCGCCAATCCCAACTCGGCTGCCCACACGCCGAGTACGCTGCTCTCCTCCAATCAGTAGCAAGTCCTACAGTTTATTGGTTGAACTGGAGGCAGCTGTGCAGAAGCTGTTTACTTCTCTCCCAGCGCCATATTGTGGGAGAGCAGATGCATAGAATAAGTCTTAATTCCAGTAACTCAGTCTAGTCCGGTTTGCTCCCCACAGTGGGAGAGCAGATGCATAGAATAAGTCTTAATTCCAGTAACTCAGTCTAGTCCGGATTGCTCCCCACAGATCCCCCTTTCTTTTTATTTTTTGGCGTTGATACATGCCTGTCTTCGGTGTCCCGCGGCACACACTCTGCTCTACTTGCTAGAGTTGCCACAGGCTCTTACAAGTCCTATCAATCAGGCAAACCGAATCCGGGTCCTCTCTTCGCCATGTTGTGAGGAGGTTTTTAGGCGCTGATGCGTGCCTGTATTCGGTGCCCTGCAGCGCATGCTCTGCTCTGCCTGCAGGGGCTTACAAAACCTAACAATCAGGCAAACCGAATCCAAGCCTTCTCATTGCCGTATTGTGGGGGAGACTTATTAGTGTTGGTTCGTGCCTATCTTCGGTGACCTGCAGCTCATACTCTGGTCGAGCTGCCTGTCGGTGCTTACCGCCCTAATCAGGCAGACCGAATCCAAGCCTCCTAATTGTATTGTATTGTGGGGAAGCCTTACTGATGTTAATTCGTGCCTGTCTTCGGTGACCTGCGGCGCATAAGCTGCTAGCCGCCGCAGGTGCTCATCGTGCTCATCGCCTCACTTAATCAGGCAGACCGAATCCAAGCTCTCACAGTGCAGTGTTGTAGGGAGGCCTTTCTATTTCTCTATTTCTCTATCTCCGGGCATTCCTATTTCTCCCATTTTACTTCTATCTTCCAGCATTCCTATTTCTCTCACTTTTACTTCTAAACTTCTGTTTCTCTTATCCCTGCGGCTTCCCGGAGGCGCTCGCCCCGAGGCTGCTTCTCGGCACCTCGCCCCGCGGCAGCTTCACGGCTCTGCGAGGCTTCCCGGCGCCTCGCCCCGCCGGCGGGTTCCCGGCTCTGCGCGCACGCTCCGCGGTCTCCACGCACTTCGCGCCCGCACCACGGCCTCGCGCCAACGCCCCGTGCTCTCTCTGCACGCGGCGGCTTCCGCGAATGTTTCCGCCACCACCGGCATTCAGTCCAAGTTCCCCGGACTAACCTGGCGAATCCTGGCGGCCCACGTCTCTGCCTCTGGTTCCAGATCTTCGCCTCTTGCTCCCCGGGGTGACTTGAAGAATTCCAAGATGGCTTGGCCTGCACTCGCGGCTTCATCCTCCCTAACATTTCTCTCTACCCGGTATGTTTCCTTAAGTTTTCTTCCAACAATATTCCTCTCATTTCTCCTGGCTACTCCCCACAGTCCGTATCCGAGTCCAAGCCTCCTCCAGGTTTCACTTTCGCTTTCAATCTCCTAGCTTCCCCACCATAGTCCGCATCCGAGTCTATGAAAGCTTTCACTTTCGCTTTCAATCCTAACTTCTTTCCCACAGTCCATATCCGAGTCTATGCCTAGGCTTTCAATAGCTTCTTCCGGCACCTAGGCTCTTTGCTAGTCTCTCTCTCCGGTATTTTCCTGCTTCTTCCCGTTTCTTCCCTCCTAAGTTTCCTATCCGTCCTAGGTTTCCTAATCCGAGTCATGTTTCCTATCCGAGTCACGGCACCATTATGTCGCTCCCCGTCTTCGTGGAGGAGCAACACAGGACCCTGCGCTGTTCTCTCGTCTGCTCGGCCCTCCCCGGGTTTGCTGCTGGTTCTTCCCGGGTTGGCTACTATCCCTTCCACCTCCGTGGAAGGGTAGTTCCCCCTGGCCACATTCCCCACTTCCGCAGGGGAGCGGCACACCGCCGGCCGGCTCTCTCGGGGGCTGCACAGGTGTTCCCCTTAGAGGTTCCCCATAGATGTTCCTGGTGAATGCCGTCTCTCTCCTCCTTTATAGTCCTCCTCCGCCAATCCCAACTCGGCTGCCCACACGCCGAGTACGCTGCTCTCCTCCAATCAGTAGCAAGTCCTACAGTTTATTGGTTGAACTGGAGGCAGCTGTGCAGAAGCTGTTTACTTCTCTCCCAGCGCCATATTGTGGGAGAGCAGATGCATAGAATAAGTCTTAATTCCAGTAACTCAGTCTAGTCCGGTTTGCTCCCCACAGTGGGAGAGCAGATGCATAGAATAAGTCTTAATTCCAGTAACTCAGTCTAGTCCGGATTGCTCCCCACATGTATCATCACTTAGCACTGACCTCTCTATCAATATATAATTTCCTAAAAGGATCAAAGATTTTAAAAGTTCCTAAACTGCATTTCAGAAGGTGAGACATCCACAGTTTTGTTATCTTTTGTCATGTATGTTTGGAATGAGATCAGTGCGCATCAGAATTACCTGTGATGCTAAGAAGTGCACATGCACTGCCTCACCCAAAGCTTATTGTTTTAGAAACCTCTAGGAGCCTGACAGTTCTGAAGTAACTCCCTAATCAAACTCTTTCATTTCAGACTGCTAACAAAACTTTGGATGATTATTAATAGGAACACACACATTGCCATACCACTTGTATTTTTTTTACCATAAAACAATAAGTGTCATAAACCCTTTCAAAGTTCTCATTAAAAAAACCTCTAATCAAAACATGAGAACAACAGCAAATGGCCACAGCAGTGCTGACTTTAGCCGACACTATGCATAATCTGTGTGCATGCATACATGGGCATCTTCTTCCAGGGAAACAAGAGTTGGGCAAGCGAATAAAGGTTATGAATCCTTAACAATATTTTCAAGATTAAACAACTAGTCTTTAAAAGAAAATCTGAACACTGTTACAAATGGGGTAAATTGATACAGCTGGTTGCCTGAACAGACATGTCCAAAGGGTTAGATCACAACTATGTTTTTGCAAATTGCACCTGTAACATGGGGCACATTTCTCATCTGGGTCAGTTGCAGCACCTCAGTAAAATGGAAGTAACAGGATTTCATTCACAGCTAGTATTGCATGAAAGAAATCAGAAACTTATAAGTAACACAAAGACATTATCTATCTTAAAATTTAGTACAAGTGCAGTCTCAAAACCCCCTCATTCATATGTAAATTTTACACTACATATGGAAGAATTACTTAATATTAAAAACTTAATTCATGGGCCAGCGCCACGGCTCACTAGGCTAATCCTCCACCTTGCGGCACCAGCACACTGGGTTCTAGTCCCCGTCAGGGCGCCAGATTCTGTCCCGGCTGCCCCTCTTCCAGGTCAGCTCTCTGCTGTGGCCTGGGAGGGCAGTGGAGGATGGCCCATGTGCTTGGGCCCTGCACCTCATGGGAGACCAGGAGAAGCACCTGGCTCCTGGCTTCAGATCAGCATGGTGCGCCGGCCGCAGTGTGCCAGCCGTGGCAGCCATTGGAGGATGAACCAACGGCAAAGGAAGACCTTTCTCTCTGTCTCTCTCTCTCACTATCCACTCTGCCTGTCAAAAAAAAAAAAAAACTTAATTCATTCAGAGTACACAAGCACAATGGAGTGCTGTTTTTAAGGACGCATGATACAAATATTGTGTTACCTTAGGCACCTCGCATATAAGTTAGAGAAAACAGTCTTACCAGAAAATGATTTGACAGTAACATCTGTTGACTCTCTCCAGTTTCAGGATTTATGGTTCACCCTAAAGTTACACAAATCTAGCTTTTTTCCCTACTCTGCAAGCTTAGAACAAGCAGGAAGAAAAAACAGGTGTGTTTCAAGCATTTCCTATCAAACAGAAGTATTACAAGCTTATGGACTGGTTGGGTGGGGGAAGCTGATAAAAAGCCCAATTGGGAAATGTTGAAGGAAAAAGTTAGTCCATCCATCTTGGAGTCAGTATTTGTTCCTAATGTGGAAGAAAATACAGAGGGGAAAGAAATCTATTGGTGTAGATTCTGTGACATACAAAGCATGAGGATGAAGGCAGGTACAGCCTGCATGTCTAGGATCAAAACCTGCTGTACCTTTCTAGACAAGTGACAATCCTAATGAAGAAGGCAGAGATGTATAAGGAATACCTGTAACACAATCTCAGGTCTTTGAAGATGAAATAAAAACCAGGATCCAGGTAATAGGGCCAGCCCTGTGGTATAGTGGGTAAAGACCCCTGCAGTTCCAGCATTCCATATTGGCGCCAGTTCAAGACCTGGCTGCTTCACTTCTGATCTAGCTCTCTGCTATGTCTTGGGAAAGTGTAGAAGATGGCCCAGGTCCTTGGGCAGCTGCACCCACGTGGGAAACCTGGAAGAAGCTCCTGGCTCCTGACTTCACTTTGGTGCAGCTCGGGCTGTTGTGCCCAAGTGGGGAGTGAATCAACAGATGGAAGACCTCTCTATCTCTCTCTGCCTCTCCTTCTCTGTGTGTAACTCTGACTTTCAAATAATATAAATAAATCTTAAAAAAAAAAAAGGCAGCCAGGAACTAACAAAAAGTCCCCATACCTACCCAGGACGGCCACCACTTCCGACCTCAGGTGTTCTGTTCCGTGGTGAGGCTGTGCAAATCAGCGCGCGGGTGAGGGTCCCCCCTTCTTTTCCCAAAATTTCCTTCCTTAGCGCCTCAGAGATCCACGCTACGGGAGGCCCAGCAGAGGCTCTCAGCGCCCAGCAGTCCCCTCCCCGCTGCCCTCGGCTCAGAGCTTGGATCATAGCCACAGTGTCTGCTAGCCTTTATGACGCTCCGACGTCTCGGGTTGAGTCACTTCCAGCCCAGGCAGACTGGGGCCGCACCGTCCGAACCCCGGCCCACACTCAGGGGTCCAGATGGACCAACCCACACCCGTGAGCCAATGGCGTGCTCACCCTCCCCTCTCCGGGGCGACACTGACACCGGGAAGAGCAACGTTGGCCTCCTCCCAGCGTGGGGGCAGCGGTGGCACCAGGATCAGAGACGCTGACCAGTTCACACGCCTCTGTCCCTGTGACTCCGGCGGCACTCCCAGGCCGCCCTCCTCTGCACTTCAGTATCTTCCCTGCACCTGCCCACTACAAGAGAGGGGCTCGCTGCTTGCTGCTCCCCAGTCTTGGACCCTGTCTGAAGGCCGCTTTGGCGCCAAATCCCGAGGTAAAGTTAGAAGACAGTGGGGCGAGCCTGACGCGGAGCCCAGGCAGAGGCTGAACCCGCGCCTTTTATTTGTGCTACGGGGGCGGCGTTGGCAGTGCTGGGTGCTGCACAGTGGGCCGGGCCACTCTCCTCACCACCCGGAGCCTGGGGGAGTGAGGGGCGCCCTGACTGGCAGTGACTGCATCCTCCTCAGATGCCATCATTCCCTGTCCCGGGCCCTCTAGCGCAGCCATTTTTTTCTTCTCCAAGGAGACTCCTCGGCTGGGCGGGCTCCCTTCCTGCTTCTCCACTTTCTCCTTTGGGCCTCTCCGTATTCCTTCTTTCAGTTGTCCCCTGGCTCCTTGCCCCACCGCTTCTCCCTGGCCCAACAGCCACATTGTCTGAAGGGGAGCTTGAAGATAAAGTGTTTGTAACTTCTAACTAGGTGTCTTACAAAAAAAAATCGCTGTAAGTTAAACCAGTGATTATTTCTTTTCCTTGTCATTAGTAGCCTTTTTTTAGATCGATAGCAAATCTATAAAATTATATTATTGATTGCTTTCTATTAGTGTGCATTTTGAATGAACAATAGTTGTTTAAAAACATTTGACCCCAGTTCAGTTAGAGGGAATAGTTAAGTGTAAATAAAACTTCTGGCACCTTGAATGGTAACAAGAAGCTAGAGAAATATGAAATAAGCCTTCAGCACTCTCTACTGGCCTTGCTGCCTGGGCCGGCCGGGGGTGCGGCCTCTGGTGGAGGCAGGAATAGCTCAGGCCTTTTGGGCTCCCACGTGCAGCCGCTGGGACATACACAGACTGGGACTTGTGTTGCCACTGGCATCACCAGCACCAGTGTCCTGGACGGCAGCAAAGTCTGCACAGCCCCCTCCATGATGTCAAGGCCAAGGATGCCAAGAGGGTTGCAGAGCGGTGGAGAACCATGTGAGGAATAACCAAGTGATGGGAATTGGAAGTGGTTCTACAGTTGCCCATGCTGTGCAGCGAATAGGTAAGGACACAGAGTGAAAGGCAGCTATTATTAGTGGGAGACGGACCCTGTCCCTTCTGTAGGGTTTGAGCAAATATACCGGTGACAAGAAGAAAAGTGAGGAGAGTGAAACACCTCGGATATGGTTTTGTCTCCACAGCTGAAAGAGTGAAACAGGAGAATCTGAACCTTGTTTGTATTCCCACTTCCTTCCAGGCCTGGCAGCTCATGCTGCAGTATGGTTTAACCCTCAGTGACCTAGATCGACACCCAGAGAGGCTGCCTGACTCAGGGGAAGATTGTGGCAGGCTATGCCAGTCATTTCATTGTGATCACTGATTTCTGGAAAGATTCAAAGAGTCTCAGAGATCAGTGGCATAAGGGAATCCTCATCGAGGTCATCCTGATAATTCATGGTATACGTTCTTACCTTAGCTAGATTTGACCCTGGTTGGAATTTAAGGTCAAGAATGTAGGTCATAGGCACCTAAATGTGATTTACATGAGAAAATGCTATTTTCAAATAAAAATTCTTATGATGTTAAAAACTTAAAAATATTTTTGTGGGGCTGTCGTGACATAGTGGATAAAGCTACTTCCTGCAATGCCAGCATCTCATGTGGGCACTGGTTCATGCTCCAGCTATTATGCTTCCAATACAGCTCCCTGTTACTGATACTGACCTGGGAAAAGCAACAGAAGATGGCTCGTTTGGCCACAAGTCACCCATGTGGAAGACCTAGATGAAGCTCTTAGCTCTTGGCTTCAGCCTGGCCTAGTGCTGGCTATTGTGTCTATCTAGGGAGTTAACCAGCAAATGGAAGAACTCCCACTTTGTCTCTCCCTCACTCTCTAACTTTAAAAATAAATAAATCTCATTTTCATCTCTAAAATGCAAATATCAGAACTTGGAATTATGGTTGAATTGTATAAAACATTAATTTCTTCCTCACAAGATCACTGTCTTTGTTTTACAAGGTCAGTAACTCTTCTTAATCTTTGGTCTCTTTTTTAACTACACCTTTGATTTTCACCAAAATGTAGTACACTGACATAATTACAGATTGTTCTGAGATTTTTCTGTGTACTCTTTGCCCATTATGATCATTTTCTTCATCTTTACATCAGATCATCTTGGCAAATACTAGCCTTTTGCACTTTAGAAACTGAAATTAAAGTTTCTCTTTAATCCCACACAGTGTGCTCATGAGATTTTTTTCCTAATTACCTCTGGTTACTAGAGTCTAGGTGTCCAGTTAATAGAGGAATGCTAGGAAGAAAGATCATTCCTAAGTGTTAGAATGAGCAGCACAATTACAACTCTAATGGGAAGTTAACAGTCATTGATGAAATTCCAGCAGAGTAATCTGATTTGGTTTCACATACTTTTTTCTTTTTTCCATTTTAATTAATTAATTAATTAATTTTAAAAGATTTTATTTATTTACTTAACAGGTAGAGTTACAGACAGTGAGAGGGAGAGACACAGAGAGAGGTCTTCCATCCACTGGTTAGCATCCACTGGTTAACATCCACTGATTAATTCAATGGCAGGAGCTGGGCTGATCAGAAGCCAGGAACCAGGAGTTTCTTCCCAGTCTCTCACACATGTGCAGGGGCCTAAGCACTTGGGCCATCTGCTGCTTTCCCAGGACATAACAGAGAGCTGGATTGGAAGAGGAGCAACCTGGACTAGAACTGGCGTCCATATGGGATGCCAGCACTTCAGGTGGAGAATTAACCTACTGTGCACAGTGCCATTCCCTTTTAATTTATTTTTTAAGGTAAACAAAATTTATATATACAAATTTGGGCACACAGGGATACTTCCTACCCATGCTGCCATCCTTCCTCCTCCTTTCTCATGCTTTAATTTTCATATTTTCAGTTTATTTTACACTCATAAGATTAATCCTAAATTAAGTAAAGAATTCAACAAAGAGTAAGCAGAAAATAACATTGTTCCTCAAAAGTAGAGACAAGGGCTATAAACAATCATTGAATCTCAAAATGTCATTTTTGCTCATATAAAAACTTTTTGTGTATTCTACTAGTTACCACAGATCAGGGAAATAATATGGTATTTGTCTTTCTGGGACTGGTGTATATCAATATAATGGTTTTCATTGCATCCATTTTATTGCAAAATACAGGATTTCTTTCTTTTTTCCAGCTGAATAGTATTCCATAGTGTGTGTGTATCACATTTCCTATATCCAGTCACTGGTTGATGGACGTCTGTGTTGTCTTCCACAATGGCTGTACTAGTTTACAACCTCAACAATAGTGATTAGGGTACCCTTTTCCACACATCCTCATCAGCATTAATTTTTTTTTATTGATTTCTGTATGAGAGCCATTCTAACTGGGGTGAGGTGAAACCTCATTTTGGTATTTATTTGCATTTTCCTGATGGCAAATGATCCTGAGTATTTTCTCATGTGTTACCATTTGAATTTCCTCCTGTGAAAGACATCTGTTCAAGTCCTTTGCCTGTTTCTTAAGCATATAAATCTGATTTGAATTACAGTTATTTTATTTCCTCTATGAAAACTTATCTTATAAGGAAATCAAATGATTTGTAAACCTATTTACTTTACTTTTGTTGCAATTACTATTTCTGAGTTGCTGTAGATATATTCCAGGCAATATATGAGTGCAATAATAATGCAACCTATCAAGTAATTTGTCTTCTAAAAAAGGCAAGTTTCATGAAATTTTACAGCGCTGCAACTTCTGCTTTTGAATCTGTTCCCAAAAGACCTGTGTGTGGGATGAGCGGGGATATCTGCTTCTCTCAGAGGTTTTTAAGAGCACAGCAAGTGAATATTAGAAAGTATACACTTGGGGACGGCGCCGTGGCTCACTAGGTTAATCCTCCACCTACAGCACTGGCATCCCATGTGGGCGCCAGATTCTAGTCCTGGTTGCTCCTCTTCCAGTCCAGCTCTCTGCTGTGGCCTGGGAAGGCAGTGGAGGATGGCCCAAGTGTTTGGGACCTGCACCCGCATGGGAGACAAGGAGGAAGCACCTGGCTCCTGGCTTCAGATCGGCGTAGTTCCGGCTGTAGCGGCCTTTTGGGGAGTGAACCAAAGGAAGGAAGATCTTTCTCTCTAACTTTATATGTTAAAAAAAAGAAAGTATACACTTAATACAACTCTCAATTTTTATAGCTCCTTTATATTTGCAGTATTTAAAGTTAATGAGGTCATCTTGACTCTGGCGATTTTCAACGTCTATTAAGGATTGTTTTTCTATAGTTGACTGTAAAAAATATTTGCTTTAAGAGTTCCAGCATTGTGGTGACTCTTATCCAGCAGCATTTTCCCAAGACTTAAAGAAAAATAGATTTTTATAAAAGGGATTCTTTTTAATGTCTCAGTACATTATTTTTGTTACTAACAGAAACAAGTTATACTTTTTCCTCCCTAAAATTCACTCTGATGAAAGAAATAGTTTTTTTTTTAACTCCTAACAAATGCTACATGCTCAAGACTTCAGGAATTATCACTTTCCCAAGTGATTTTTCCAGTTAGCATAATCTGTGTTAACTGATCTATAGGCATGACTAGTATGCCTCTCACATTCAGTAAAATTTTCACATATTTTTCATGGCCTTTCTGGGCTCTAGCACCACAATAAATTTGATCATACTGATAACTGTAAGACATTTCTAGAGGCAATTACCAACTACAAATGCAGATTCACAGAACTTAAATTTATCAAAGCTATTATTTTTGACAAAGCTCTCCAGTTTTTCCTTGGCATATTCCACTACATCTGAATGAAGCTCAATCCCATGATTTATTCTATTTTTTAACTTTTATTTAATGAATATAAATTTCCAAAGTACGGCTTATGGATTACAATGGCTTCCCCCCCCATAAGGTCCCTCCCACCCGCAACCCTCCCCTTTCCCACTCCCTCTCCCCTTCCGTTCACATCAAGATTCATTTTTGATTCTCTTTATATACAGAAGATCAGTTTAGCATACATTAAGTAAAGATTTCAACAGTTTGCTCCCACACAGA